CACGACGCTCTTCCGATCTCCCCAAAACCCCAAAACCCCGTGAATTAATATTGGATATGAAGATTAGTGATATAGTAAAGATGAATCTGTCCACTTTTTTCTTATAATGATATATATATAAGTAATCTTAAATATGAATTAATATTGCTTGAGATAATTTTTATTTGATATAATTTGAGCGATTGATGATATATTGAATCTGTTAATCAGCTAATTAATAATAAAAATCAAGCAAATGAAAAGATTCATCACCGTATCTTTGGCCTTATTCTTAGGCCTGATCACCGCTCAAGAATTAGCTGAACCAGTTTTCCTTCAACAAGCTTCTAATCCCCCTCCAGTATCTAAGGATGCTGGTGCTCCTAAAGCATCTAATGATGCTGGTGCCCCCAAGCAAAGCACATCAGACAAAGTTGTTGCCAAGTTCGAAGACATAAACGAAGATCTCCAAAGACTCAACTGCATTCTCTACGATGACTTAACTTTCTTCGATATCAGAGCTCTTGAGAAGTTCAACCCATACACATCAGAAGATGCTGAGGACAATATTGTAGCTTCTCCAAACGATAGTATCAACTACTACATTAACTTTTGCAAAAGATTCATTCTTAATGATGCAAACGGAAAAGAAATCAAGACATTTGCCTACTCCAGTACTCTAGCTGGCAGAAAGATTTTAACAGACTCTGGAAAGCCATCCTACACTGAAACTGTGCTTTAAGATAAGGACAAAAAAGATGACAGCGGTGATTCAACTCACATTAAATTCGATCAAGATGGAGGTGAAGAATGCAAAGTACTTGTTGGTAAAGAGATGTAAACTAAAAATTTCAAAGTAACCTATGAAATCTATTGTGATGCTTCAGTCACTGATAAACCCAGCCTTTCTGTTTCCAACAAAGATCCCTGCAACCCAATCGTCACCTTCAGTCACAAGACAGGTTGCCCAGTCTTCCAAGCCACATCAATCGTTAGATTCTTAGCCAACAACCCAATTATCATGGGGCTAATTTTGATAATCTTTGGAATCATCACTACATTCTTTGGAGGAAAGTTTTTCAAGTACGTACTAGCTACTGTTTCAGGTGGTCTCACCTTCTTGATCGTCCTTCTTCTTGCATCAGTTGTTGGTGCTCTTAAGGCTCTTGAGAAGAACAGAGATGCTACTCCAGGCCAAATCTCTCTAACCATTATGTCATTCGTTGTTGCCATTGCTGCTGGTTTCTTCGTTGGATGGTTCATCAAGAAACTCAGAAGAATAGGTATCACCGTTCTCTGTGCTGCTTCAGGTTTCTTCCTCGGATTCCTCCTCTACAGTTTAGTATTCATCCAATGGCTTGAACACCAGGCTGTCCTTATCTCCCTCGTTATCATTTTGACTGCTCTTGGTGCTTACCTTGGATGGAGATTCGACAAACTCATTATTGTCTATGTTACCGCATTCCTCGGTGCTTACGCTCTTATCAGAGGTATCTCAATCTTCGCTGGAAAGTTCCCCAACGAAATTGCCCTCTACGGTCAACTCTCATCAGGTACCTTTGAAGGTCTTGGTGGTGCTTTCTATGGATACTTAGCTGGTATTGTCATTACTGGAATCCTAGGAGTTATTGTTCAACATAAACTTGGCTACCACGAACATCACGATGATGAAGAGTACCAAAAACAATGATGAATATATTTCATAGCTTAACAAAAAACAGTTATAGCATTTTATTCTTAATCAGTTAAGATATTTTTTCTTATTTTAAACCCAAAATTATGTTAATCTCTAATAGTTCTACTCCAAATATTTTAGGTGAAAAATTCATATTTTCTATGATTTCTTTGATTCTGATCTCACGGGGTTTTGGGGTTTTGGGGTTTTGGGG